CTGTCAATAGTAGCAGTTAATGCTTTGTGAAATTGAGAGAGAACAGAGGATCGCCCAGCATTTATTGGAAATTATCCCAAATGGTGACAACCTGTTGCAATCTTGGATTTTTTTTTGTTGTTGTTATTAAAACATGATTAGATATTTTTGATTATGTTAGCCTAGAAGAAAATAAGTATTTGGGGTTTTTCTGTGCTGCCACAGTGCAGCATGTTACACAAGATCATTTCTGACTGTCTTTGGTTGACATTTTCAAAATCTGTCATTGCATAACATTTAATTTTCAGTTCACAAAATGGTGACTCTTGTTTTCAAGAACTGGACTTCTACCCTTGTTGTAGAAGACTGTTTTCCATTGTGGAAAGATCTATGAATTAAGTCACGGTAAAGAGCCTATAAAGTCTAAGAATGATTGGAGTTCTGTCTTTTAGACCCGATGTTCTTTTGTGGCTGATCAGCCTCACGTGCAGCCCCCAGCTAAGGCATGCTGTGTAAGCAGAAGTCAGTGAAGACTCTCTGCTTGTGGGAGCGCGCGTTGCAGAGCCATGCGGGACATGTGTGTGCCACATCGAAATGAAGCTGCTATACGCTGCAGTAGAACCTAACAATGACTCTTGTTCTGTGTACGTGCAGTAAATTCTCAATTTTAAGGTACTGCTTGGAAGTAGCTAATAAAATTATTTAGACCAGAGAGCAGGTCTAAAATTTGATAGTAGATAAGCTCAGTAAGGAGAAAGTTCTTGGCTTACAGTAAGCGTTGAAATAGCATTTGTAGGTTTCCAAGACAGGAATAACCTGTGTTACTTTTTTATTGTGATCAGTGATGTGGGTTAGAAGAAGTCTTACTGAAAGCCTACATTTAATTCCTCACTAATAAAGAATGATGAAATACATAGACTCAGCATGATGGAGAGGAAATGTGAAAGGAAGGAAGTTTGTGAATGAGAAAAAGCATCTGTCAGCTCTTTAACTGATTTTCAGATTGTAAGCAATCTTCTGAGGTCTTGTTTTCCTAAGAGTGAAGATGTATGTGTACTGAGACACAGAAGATCTTTCTGAGTACGTCTGCGGGTATCTTCTGTATTTGAACGCATTGTCTTGAATCAAAGTAACATCTAAACCACTTTTCCATCAAACTCCGTACTTCCAACAAAAGTTCTCTTACCGTTTTGTTTCCTTAAACATTATGTTCTGTACACTTTGATATAAACCTTGGGTGTGTTGCAGAGGATAAAATCTCACTTTTATGAGGATACATACCTGTGATTAAAGACTGGTTAGCAGTGATGTTGTTCCAGTAAGTTACAACATAGACCTCTCTTGGTGTGTGCAGAATGCTCAAGGCCAGTTCCTGTTCTCACTGACTTGGTAGCAACTCTCTGAACTTCACTGGAAGCAGGAACAAGGGTTCTATGTTCTCATCCATTTTCTTTCCTACCTGTTGAGTTTCCTGTGCCCATTTTTGTTTATGCGTTTCAAAATGACATTGTTCTCCCTTAGAGAAAACTAGTAGGGTTTATTTGTCTCTTGGGGTTTTTTTTTAGACTTGGCATGATGTAGTTGGCAGTCAATATGCAGGGTTTGTGCTGTGTTTAAAACTGAGTGATACTTTTATTATGTATACATCCAGATTCAGTTATATCAGTAAAAGGTCTTTTTCTGATCAGACTTTTAACAGTCCATCCTTGATATGGATTGACTTTAAGTACATGGCTCTATAACCTTAGGATGTTTATCTGTAACTTCAGAGAGAACTCAAACAACCACTAAAAGTTGAACGGTCCCTTTCTTTCTGATTTTGAAAGTGGGAGAACTTTAGCCAACCACTTCTTAAATCCAAGTGAAAGAACAAAGTGTTTTGTGTTTATCAGTGACACTGTTTTAAAGCACACCTTGTTGGATAATAACGTACTATTAACTAACTGAAATGAAATCCATTGGTTGTTTTAAATAGGTCTTTTTGAAAGTATTTACTCTCCTACAGAACCTGATTGCTAGCAATCTGATTTCTCAGCAGTGACATTCTGTATCACCTCTTCCTCTGATGGGCTTGACACAACAGCTGAAGCCACAACAGAGGTGAAAGGATGGCTGGTATCGGACACCAAGGATTTTTGCATTATATCAAATGCTGCTTCAGCTGTGCTTGCAACTCAGATTTTTCTCATCTGCAGAAACTAAATCTTCCTTTTTAAAATTAGCATTGTATAAAAGGTCATGTCATGATATAAATGGTAGAATGTGTATTAATATCTTACTATCTTAAATACATGCCATATGTAATGTAGATATGCTAAATAACATATACCAGTTGCTGAATGATATATCTGAATAAATAATAAAGAGTTGAGGTCAAATTCTACCACAGTTGCATTGAGAAAGTCCACAGATTTCTGAAGCTTATCCTATTGTGTAAGAGTTTACATAGGAGGAACAGGACAAAGTCTGCAGTGGTAGGCATATTTTCACAGATTTTGTTAAAAGGTCAGATACCACAGTTACACTTAAAATTTTTTAGTTTTAGTCCCTATGAGGAGGTAAGCATCCTCTGGAAGCACACATGACATTGTCTGATGTTAGTATGTTTTATGCTGACACATTAGGAGGAGGAGCTGACCATAAAAAACCCTCTAAAAATTCTAACAATTGGGCTGATAAATTTGAGAACTCTTCCTCCAGCCACAAGTCTCATATTAGTACCATAGGCATCTTTTAATAATATTTTATCCATTTGTTAAAGAGCTTGAAGTGTGGAGTACGGTCATTGCTGAATAAACATATGCTGGGTGATGATTAATGCAGATTAGCAGAGAATGACGTTGTCTGTCTTTACCTGAGACAGAAGCTAGCATTTGTAAGCTGTACTCAAGTTCTGTTGATGCTGTCGGTCTCCTTTGTTACTTTCCATCTGCGAAATAATGGAAATAAAATACAACTTCGCCTTTAGCAGGTTCATAAGGCATTACGTGGATACTGGGTGTGGGTTGGTTGGTTGGTTTGTTTGGCCCTTCCATAGTAAATACTTAGGTCTGCTAGCCAATGTGCTGTCATTGTTTCACTTAGACAAGGGTGATGTGTAAGGTGTTTAACCTTCCTTCTCCTCCTTGGAAGCTGAGGATAATCTCAAGTAAGCTCTTTTCAAATGGACATTCTTAGTTCTTATATCTGTTATAAAGGTTGTTCCCTAAAATTGAGAAGTTGGGTAGTTTTATTTGGTTCTCTCTTCATCTTGCTTGTGTGCATCTCCATTTCAGTAGAGACAGTTCATTAATTCCTACATTCTGTTTCAGTGTGGAGAAAATAATCTCTCACCTTTCTTCCTCTTCTTTCCACTACTACTATGGCATATAAAAGTGTGGGTCAAAATGCCCTTTTTAAAAAAAACATTTTAGTAAATGCCTTTTACAGGGTTATTTAGTGAGGATTTAAACTTGGTAGTGTGCAAGTGAGTAGATGTTGGGGTTTTTCTGTAGTTTGGAATCTAGAACTTGGATCAGAGAGCAAATGAAGGTTTGCAGTGCACATAGTAGTCCTTGTCTGTGGAACTCTGGCTGCTCTGTCAATAGTCATCAGACTGTGTTTGAACTTAAGCTGGCTGTTATTGGCCGTCTATTACACAGAACATTACAGAATGAAGCAGTTGCTTTGTTAATGTTCACTTCTGAGACACATGCAAATTTTGTCTGGATTTTTCTTGCAATGATATTTAACTTCAGTAAGATGAATTACCTGGGACATTACTTTGATGTGCATTCAAAGGTTTCATTTGTTTTTAACAGAAACAGCTGAATCGAGAGTGCGTTCGAAGTAAAACAAGTTGGTCAATATTTCTTTCCCGGATCAAAGCTTTGTCAGTGCCTGTGAATGCTGTTGTCCATCATAATGGCTTTGAACTTTTGGCAGTGTGTATTTGAAGGTAGATTGCTTTGTTAATGTTACTGCATTTATTGAATCTGGGGATTTGTATAAGTTCTTAATATAATTGACTTCTGTTTACTAGACAGTACAAAACAGACATGGCAATAAGAACTAGATTCTAATCTGTTTCGAATTGTACTATTACTATCAGTAATACTAGTAATAACTTCTGCTCAAATGTTCACACACCATTGGGGAATATTGTAAGGGAGTGGGGGAGGTGGGAGAAAAATGCTAAAAAACTGCTTTGTATGAACTACATGTGGCTAGTTTTGCATTTTAAGAACTTAGATTATGAACTTTTTGTGGAGAGTAATTTGAGTAATCCAATGCATATATTGGAGCTTTAATTAAATACCTCCTAGTTTATAGCAGAAAGCACCACACATACTGAAATGTGAGCCGACTTTGAAGCAGTGGAGTGTACCCTTGTGTCCAGTGAATGGTGATGTTAGATTTAGTTGTATATGGGGAGTCACAGTTTTAGTTAGCAGTGTTGTAATTGTTGTTTAAAACTTCACATTCAAATCAGGACTTCATTGCACTTGTACAGACAAAGTTGTATGCAAGAAATTTACTTTTGTGCAGGTTTATTCATATGTGGAATGCCTAGATTTGACCTAAACGTTTTCGCCATCTAAGTGGGTTTTTTTCAGGCTTCATGTTGGAAGAGTCTGACCATACCAGCTGCTCTAGCAGCTGCCATCATGCTTCTCTCTGTTACTCAGAGTTAGTACCATGGGCGACTTCTGGTCTGCATTCTTTGAGCTAGGTAGAGAATTTGGATCCATTTCAAGTGGGTATCTATAATTAGGAGTTATGATCAGTGTTTGACTTCTTTAGCGTCCAAATTTTAAACAGAGTTAGTTGGTGTAAAACAGATGCGTAGCCCTTCTTCCTTCGTGGGCATTTGGGCCTATTTATATCAGATATTTATTTTTGAGTGAGGCAGAAGTTTTACTGGGAATCATGTTTATGGAATGAAGTTTTAATACAAAAGGCTTCACTCTTTGGTTTGCATTGAAATCCATCTCATAAATCATATTGCAGAGTCCTTCGTTATCTGTATATTTCAACTGTAGGTATCATGTTAATGTTTATGGACAGAAAAGTTTCTGGGACAGTGGAAGAAACTAAACTTGCTGAACTGTTCTATCAGTAAGTATGACTGAAAGGGAACCACGTAAACGTGCATTTTTCCTGAAGAGGGGAAAAATTAAATGAATTCAGGGAAAAGTAGGAAAGTTAGAGAAAGCATAGATTTGACTGAGGAATTTAATGAAGAACTGTTTATGCAAATGTGTTGCTATTTCAACAAATAAAATAGATGCATAAATACTTAATTAAGTTTGATTTGAATTCAGGTTATGCAGGCTACCTGGAGTTTCGACTGCTGTCTCTGGCAAGTGATACTCTACCACAGTTACGCTTTAAAAACTGCCTGCTTCCTACAGAACAGAGCACTTGTAGTGTCATGCTGAAGCTGAGTGGTTTTATCATGTCGTGCTGACTAGAATTTTAAGTTGGCTGTGTTTTTCTTACTATATTCATATTACTTGTGCATACTTTCCACAATTTAGAATAAAATGAATTTATTCTGTGTACCTTTGAACTTGGGTTCATACTTTTAAGGATCTAAAATGCTATGGACAAATCTTTTAAGATGTAGCAGCACAAACTTACTATATTGTCCTTTGTGTCTCTTTATGTCCAAACCAAAGTTTTACAGGATTAATGTAATGCTGATTTGTTCTCATGCATGTACTATCCAGTTGTTAGGGCCTGTTTTCAATTTCATGTTTTTATACTGCACTGTTGAAAGTCTGTTCTAAATGAATGATGAAAATAATGAGTGATTTCAGAGAATGTTTGTTGGTAAAATAATTTCTCAAGCATTTATTCTGTATTGCTGGGAGTGTCTTTTGGTTCTATTTTAAAATGTTGCAGTCAGTTTTGGTTTGGCATTTACATTATTTAGAAGCATGCTGAATTTCTTTATGGCTTTTAGTTCCAAACTAAATCTGCAACATACTGGTTTGAACATTTGGATGATTTCTCTAAGCATATGTTCTCATTATCTTTGCATTTTAGTCCTCCTGGGACAGTTCACTATTTGTAAACTGTGAGGTTTCTGGGGTGAGTGGGAATACTGAATAATTCCTTGCATCTGATACTGTTGTTACATACCTCCTCCTTATGTGCACGTAGTTTTAAAGATAAGGTACTGGGCCTCAGTAAAAAGGGCATTGCTGCTTTTCTGGTTGTCATCTCTCTTTCTTTCATGGTATAGTCTTTCTGAGAGGTAAACGCTTGTGTGTATGGATCCAAACCTGCAGCTTCTCTGGTAATTTTGCCATTATTGTGAGTGGAACGAGTAAGTGTATACTCGTGGAAAAGCTTGGGGTTTGCTCTTTACTGAAATTTAGGTCTTGAAGACTCTTTCCAGCTTCCATTTTAAGCTTGAATGTTAAGTTTTCTTGCTTTTAAAAATTTTGTCTTTATTTTGCTTCTTTTTGGTTTTACTAAGATAATAGTTTGGCAAGATTTGAAGGAAAAGAAAGGTGTGAATATAAAAATGAAAAGTAAATCAAAGAAGAGTAGATATTCAAACATCCTGAATAATGTGTTATTTTAAAATATGATAGTGGTTTTAGTGTACTGGTTACTAATTACAGCCTTTGTGATCAGAAGTAATAACTGTGAAAGTATAAAATGAGAGACGGGGAAGAAGAGACCTGCCAGATTTCTGACGCTAAAATGCCTGGAGAGGAAATGCTTTGTTTTGGCTATGGCTAACTACACAACTACATTTGGCAATTACGCAGAGGGAAGGGGAAAACACAGCTTTTTCTAGGTAGTTCTTGAAATGAACTTATCACCTGAGTAGTGGGAGATAACTGTAAAAAACCACCACCTTTTTCTCACTAGCAACACCATCTACTTCACCTTTGTCAGCTTGGGTCTATTGCATGCTACTTTAGCCCAAAGATACAGCCGTGCACCATGTTACTCAGCTATCACATTAGGCAACTTAGTTAGAAAAGCAGCGTTTGGCGGCCATGGCCTGCACATTGGTATTAGTCTTTGATATGGACAGAGCCATGAGCTTTGATTCTGTTGCTGTCAGTGTGCACCACAGGGAAATGCAGTGTTAGCTGCGCTGCAGGGATGGTGCTTATCTCACTGCCTTGCTGATGGAGCCAACAGATGTATGCACATATGTCGCTTCTGCAGATGTATTTTAATTTAAAGGTGTTTGCAGAGTGTGTGGCTTAGCTCTTGCAGGAAGTCTAGAACCATATACACACAAAAGAAAATAAAATGCCCAAGTCCATCTGTTTGGTACTTAATACTAGTTTATATTCATTAGAAAAAATAAAATTAACCTGATTTTCATGAATACATTACATATCCTTTGAGATATGTTAAAATACTGTACTCAGTTGGTTTCCATTTTTCTGTAAGCTTTTCTTCTTACCTATTGTTCCTTGATACAGTGGCGTTCGGGGGGTTTTTTTTTACAGTATTACAAGTTGAGGTTTATGCAGGAAGAAACTTCCAGAACTGATTTCTGATAAAATATTGATTCAGTCAGTGCAGACCACTCTTTCAAAAAAATAGTTTAAGTGTGCAAAGAAACAAAATTTTTCTGCAACTCTGTTTTCAAGTTTTGTTCCTGCAAATGAACATGTAATATTAACTGTGCTAATTATTTTTAAATATTTAATTTCCATTTTCACTGTTTAGCTGCTCTATTCTCTGCTTCTTTGTAAAATACTGGCAAGCAGCGTTTTCCTTTTTCGGCTTTGGCAGGTAATGAATGTGTTTTCTGCTGAAACAGGAGTGTGATAAAACAATCGCAGTTCTAAAAATGAAAGGTTAATTTCAACTGTTTTGCATTCTCCTAATATTACACAGATGGAATACTCCGCATATTGCTGTTCTCCCTGCTAATATGCCATTGCACATTGCAGGGACATGAACCAAATTCATCCACTAGATTTTTTTAAACACTGAAATTATCAGTAATCCTACTGGACATGTGTAGTAGGTGGCAGATGCCTCAATTCAGAGACCTTTATTAAGAAGTTCTTTCTAGTTCCAGTTGGGACTGGATCAAGTGTTACATTCTCCATTTTTGTTGTGTACTTAATATACTTGATTTCTCATCTGTCTGAGGAAGTGTGTCCAAGGAGGCTACTGGAAGTGAAGTAGTGCTAGAGAGGTGTCCAACTACTCCCCTACTCATAGGGGCTTACTCTAATTCTTGTTGCAAGCCTGGAGCAGAGTCACTGACATTTTTTTGTGTTGGCATTTTTAATAAATAGATAGATAAAAACTGCCCTTCTAACCCTGCCTGTCCTGAGCCTGTTCTGAAGCAAAGGTACCCTTTTCAGCATACAGTCTTTCAAAGTAGACATGGGCAGGATGATTCTCAATTCCACACTCCTGTTCCACAGTGCGCCGTGTGCACTTCCTCCATCGTCGAGCAATACATCTTGTCATCCTTAAGAGTTCACACAAGTCATACTTGTTGAAATATTTTTCTTTTCCAAACATATGTAAAGTACTACGAAGTAGAAGGCAAGCTGCTTTTGTTTGTCAGTGGAATTTCATTTTATTAAATAATTTGTATGAAGCTTCAGCTGCTCTTAATAGACAAGGAAGAAAAAAGCCTTCAAATATGAAGTACTGACTGTGCACGCTTGTTTGCTTTAAAGGGCTGTCGTACTGTTGTGCAGGCGGCTGCCTGCTGTAAAAGGTAATTACTTCCCTGCTTCAAAGGTCAGATGTGATGGCAGGGAAAAGGCCTATGAGCAAAAATCAGATCAAGCGTTATAGTCTGTCAAGGATCATGCTTGAAAGAGGTGGAAGAAGTATGAAAGACAAGCTGAAAATAAAGAAGAAACGCTTAACTTTAATCAGAACCTTGGGCAGATTCCCTTAGAATTTTTTTCAGATTAGGGCAGTACCTTTTTTGTTGGTGAAAAGGTTAAGTGATCCAATGAAGGTATCGTTGCTAAAATGTCAACATGAGGTTATAATCAACGTGGAATGGTTATTAAACAGTTCACAATTTAAGGGTGAAGAAGGCAAAAAAAAGTCATAAAACCTAGGAAGGGGGAAATAGTGGTAATTCCTGACTTCTTTTACAAACAAATTTACAATACTTGTATGAAAAGTACTTACAAATAGGCTTGCAATTAGGAACCTGTGATGTACAAAATAGTGTAGCCTCACAGTTCAGCAGAACTGAGAAATGTATTTCAGAATTTAAAGAGAGAATGTGAAGCATGTCAGTATTGTACAAATATCTTTAATGGCTACTTTAAAGAGAATGACTTGTTTATTTTAATGGGTGGTTGCACAGTTTCAATCTCACTAGCAAAACTCTGGATAATTTATCATCTTTAAGTTGAAAGCCAGCTGTATCGTGGAGGGAAAGGGATTAGTTTCCTGTCAACTTCCTTTTTGGAAAAAGTGATGTGTGCACACTGAAAATATTTCCAGCTTGGGTAAAGTATGTTTGAAAATACCTTTTGGGTAGAGTCATATTTTGATGGGCAAAGAAAGAGGACTTGCTTTCAGTTTTACATGTTTATAGAAACATTCTGAGAAATCTAAGGGGCTTTTTTCTCCTTCACTTTAAAAAGTACACACTGTTCAAGCTGGGAGAGTTTTGCCAGCATTAACCTTGATCTCTTCTGGCACTGTGGTCCAGTGGAGAATGTTTTTTCAGAAATCGGTCTGTACTTTGAACTGTTGAAGGGACTGCAGTGGTATGTGCGTGCAGGAAGGGTCACAGCATTTCATTTCTGAGAGACAACAGAAGGGCTTTATTTTTTATGTTCGTATACATGTGAATGAAAGCAAAATAAGAAACACAGGGTGTGGTGGAAACATGTAGAATTATACTCATTTGGATGTGCCTGTTCCTAAAACAAAAGGTAGGGGAAGTACTGCAAAAGCTTGTATTCATGCATGCGTGGAGTGTTCACCAAGTCTTTTGAGTGATTAAAAAAAAAAAAAGGTAAAATTTCATTTTTCTATCAATGCTCTGTGTACAAGGGAGGAGGCAGATAGTAAATATTTATGTGAAACATATGCAAAAGAGATACTGTGGAAGAGTTAAAGTCCATACGCTGTTGAAATCTGAGAATGCCCTACTGAAAATATAAAACATCTACAAATTACTATTAATCATCAGTACTTCAGGATAAGCCTTGACTAGGACTCAAGTTTTAAAATGTTTCCTATTGTGTGCAACTCCTTTAAAATAAAGGTTTTTTCTTTCCTTTATTCCTTAGCAATAACAACATTCATGTGAAAACGAAGTGTTCTATTTGCCAGATAGCTCCTCTTGTGTTTTCCCTACCTTAAACTATTTTGCTTTCGTTAGCTAGAAACACCATCCCTTGGGATGCTTTACTACAAAGCATGCCAGAAGTATCCCGTGGGAGCAATCTTTCACTAACAGAGAAATAAATGAGATTTCTCCTGTAGGTACTTTCTCCCAACTTTCCCAAGTTTGTAGAAACACAGTAGCTCAGAGGATCCATTAAATCCCGAATCTCCTTTAAGTAACATAAAAGTAATCCTTTTATGTCAAACTGCAATATAACAAACAGTAAGAAAGTATTGCTTTTATTTGTCGAAGCAAGGAAAGGCACAAGCATCTATCATTTTGAAGTAGAACAACATGGAAATGAGCAGTCGTATAAGAAATTAAAAGTTTTATTTTCCACAGTAGTTGCTGAGTGACTTAGAATGTTATTAGTAATTAGTGTGTAACGTTACATAATGCTTGAAATCTCCATTCTCCTGCTTGATTCATGCTCTAAAGATGACCAGAACAGAAATAGGGATTTGCTAAGATTGCAGTGAAAACTATGGTGTTTGACATGAAAGCCACGTTACCCTGCACTAACTGCATCTCAATTTGAACAAAATGTGCTGGATCTCTACACAAAATTATACAAAGCAAAACTATGGTATTTGTTGCTGAGAATTTTGATATATGATACTCACCTGAGGATTCTCCTGTCTTTTCATTCTGTCTAGTGTTGAGGGTGAAGCTCCAAGCAGTGAAACTGGCACATCTTTGGATAGCCCATCTGCTTACCATCAAGGACCTATAACACACAGCTCAGCTATAAGTCCAGACCATTACGATCGTTCTGCTTACGGGCTGTATTCTGTCTCCCCTGGACAACAAAGATCTCGGAGGCCGAAACTTCAGCACTCGACGTCCATACTGCGAAAACAAGCAGAGGAGGAAGCTATTAAAAGGTCAAGATCGCTTTCTGAGAGCTATGAACTCTCTTCGGACCTACAAGATAAGCAGGTATTTGAGCTTTGTTACCTAATTTATGACAACAGCAACATGTCTTGTAAGCTGGGAAAAAATCTTTCCTAACATCACTTCAGTTGTGATGCTGAAAATACCTTTTTTTTCCTCCGAGCAACTTAGTTCAAAATAGCTATATGTCAGCATTTCTGAGTTTTTTTGCTCTTTGTGTTGTGTCTTCCCTGTGTCCCACAATCCTGCACCCCTTTCTGAAGAAGCACTTAAAAGATATGTTAAAAGTAAAAACAGTTCTACTAGGAATTGTGATTTCATGCTTGGGACAAGTACTAGAATGTAATAATACAAAACATTTTTCTAAGAAAATGAGACATTCTGAAACGTGGATATCTTTGTTGTTGCTGCAAGAAGGGAAGAACTAATTGCAGCTGATATTCTCTGAAATCTGTGGGGTGAATTCAAGGTCTTAATTGGTTTTCTTTCACCAAGGCAAAACTCCCATATGCTTTACAAAGAGCTGGATGGAAGCTGTGTGTATGTTCAAAGCCTTTGTCCCTAAAAAGGTATTCCTGTAAGACAGTCAGCCATTCCTTTTAAGCTTTATTCTGAATATAGTCCTATTTGAAAGATGTTTGTTGCCATATACGTTCATCTTTATCATTTGAAAATGATGCTGTGATAGCTCAAGGTAGACAAATATGCAGGATGCACTGGATTTCACTGATAGATGAAGAGTTGCCAATACATTGGTGGCTTTTGGTTGTTTGGGTTTTTTTTGTTAGAGAACTTGCTCGCCACGGAATATTTTGTTCACTGTGAAGCATTGTCGTATATTGTGTAGTCACTTCAACTTGTATGTTAGCATGGTGAAAGTGGAAGCAGGCAAATTCCACAGAGGAAGCAAACTACTCCTGATTTTGGACCACACACTGATAGTGAAATTTACAGGGGCTAAGCCCCGTCTGCCATGTGTTTGTTCTGAAATTTCAGGTTGGAGGATCATATAATGTTGTTCCAGAGAGACCTGGAAGAACAGAGCTTGAGTTCTTATTTAGCCAATATTTAGGATAGCAAGCAGGAGTTTAGTTTAGCCAAATTCTGTATTAGAGTGGGGACATATCAAGATCCCTTATTCTTGATCTAGATGATGCCAGCTCTGCTATTAAGTTGGACCTCCTTGTGAGATCTAAAATGTTACTTCCATTTCCATCTCTGGCAGTCATTTCTGCTAGACGTCTCATAAGGGATTGATATAGAGTGTAAGGCTTACTAAAGAGGTCTCCTGCAGTGCAGATATTCCACAGAGCCTAATTTCATCTGTCCTTTTATGCTGGTTTGATAGACAATGAGGACTGCAGATGTTATTTTGTATTTGTCCAGGGACTCCTACACAATAAAAAGTGACAATGATACATAGAGGAAGTTTGATACTGGAGAGTTGCTTACTGCTCTTGAAAAGCTCTCATTGAAATCTCAGAAGATACTTTAAAACTATTTAGGAAAGTGTCCAAAGCTTTACCTAAAGTCAGTGTGCATTAAATATGCAGTAAAATTTATTAGAAATATTGGTCACAAGTCTAGTAAATAATCTAGGCAAATTCCAAAATACTCTCAATTAAAATTCCCACCAAACCCCCCTATTTTATGATAATCAATGATGATATGATTTGCTGAGTAAACCTGAAGGACAACAGCCTGTTTGCAAGAATAAAGTCCAGATAATTTATTTTATAGAATATTAGTTTTTGTTTTAGTCTGTCACACCAGCTATGCCAGTTTTCTTTAGGTTCAACATTTAATTTTGAGAGGACAACTAAATTAACAATGTGTCATTTGTTTTGAGATTAGTCTGGCAAAATAATCTCTTGCAATTTATTTAAACATATGATCTAATGAATACTACAGATAGAAATGTGTGTCAGCAGTTCAGGGTTGTGATAGAAGTTCTTAAATTTTTTTTTAATCTTCAGAATGCCTTACAAGTAACCTCATAGCCTCTTTGACATGGGCAAGTATGGAGGTAACATAAACCCCCTTTGGGGGTGAAAGGCTAAACAATTTTTTTTAAGACAAACTGTAGAAAATTATGCAGAGATTTACACATTCCCAGCTCAGAGATCAGTCACAGTTTTTTGATCTTAATTAAAAGAAGCTTCAAGATACAGTCAAAATAACAATTCCTTAGCAGTAATCCTGATCTCAGCCCAACTGAGAAGTTGGTCTCCTCAGTTGATGCCAGTAACTGTGCATAATATTTTACATCTAGAACAAAAAAACCCCATCTTTAATGTGGAAGGGGAATGGGAGCTGCT